TTATCTAGGTTTGGTGATATCTTGGTATGGAGGAATTGAACCCAAAGTCTCACACTGACTGGGCAAGCATTGTACAACTGAGCAACATCTCAACCCTCCTTCCAAAAATTTACTGTTTACTAATTATTTTGAGACAAGGTCAGCTAGGTCAGCTTTGAACTCTTGACCTTCCTGCCTCAGCCCCTGTAGTAGCTGGGATTACAGGCCCACACCATCACCCTGGCTTCAGGCTTAGCTGTAACTGCAATTTTAATTCATACTCAAACAGATAATCTTCGTAAATTTTAAAAATCTGTTTGTTTACTTTGGGGCTGGAAATAGTCTTGCACATCCAAGCACATGGTATATCCCCATGAGCACACCCCCAGCCAGTGCTCATTTGTTGTTAAGTCACACAGGCGACAGAAACAAAGGGTAGCGTTTCTCTAGTCTTCCTCCATCAGCTTCAGTGTGTGGCTTCCCTACTCCAGAGCTCAAGACAGCTGCTGTGACTGTGCCACCAGATCTCGTGTTCCAAACAGAAAGTGGGTGAAGGGTGAGGTGCTCTGCACAAGGGTGACCTCTCCACATCTGCTCTTTGTCTGCTCATTAGAGGGGGGGGGGACTTTCAGACTCGGCATCCCTGTCAGAAAGGTGTCAGGTGGCCACTGAGACTGGCAGGTAGCCAAGACAGGCTGACCTAGCTGCTCTTTGCTTGATTTCTTTGGCATGGCACACACATAGATACCAAAGGATAGCTTGGGAAAATTGATTCTCCTGTTCACCTTGTGGGTTCTGAGCATTCAACTCAGATCATCAGGCTTGGTTGCAAGCACTGAGCCATCTTGGGGTCTGAAATGCTCTCAAAGGCTACATGATGTTCAAAAGTTTCGTCTATGGGAGCGCCTTAGGTCTCATGAATTTTCAGGGTAGGGATGTTTACCCTATCCGTCAAATGTCCTCCAGTCTAAAACATACCTAACCTCTGAACACCCCTTTGGTCCCAAGTTCTCTAGGTGAGGCATGCTCAGTCTGTGCAGCATCCAGAATCATTAGTGACACTGAAAACCACAAACACATGGAGTCCTCGAACAACAGCATCTGGTCCTGGAGATGGCAGAATCGGGCTTCCTAGTGTAGGATATAACCTTTACCAGAGCAGAAGGCCCCAGAGGAAGGGAGCTTCCTTATTGGGTCCTCCATCACACGGCCAGAGAGGAACAAGGGGAACATGGCAGTTACCTTCATGCCAGTGCACTCCTGGCCCCTTACCATAGGAATAGGAGCAAGCAGGGACATAGCACCTAGATCTCCACTTCTTTAAGATGGACAGAGAAACAAAAGATCTGGGTGTGCTCTAAGAGCAGAGAGGACCCTGCCCCGGGCCCAGCTTGCAGGATTTGGTCCTGGGAAGGTAGGTGCTCCATGGAGTGTTACAACCATGCTGCTCTGCCTTCTCCTACAGGGAGGATCTCGGTTTAGAAAGCTAGAGGAGCCAGGCAGTGAGGGCCATGTCTTTAATCCCAGCTCCAGAGGCAGAGACAGATGGATCTCTGAGTTTGAGGCCAGCCTGGCCTACACAGAGAGTTCTAGGACAGCCAAGGCTACACAGAGAAACCCTGTTTTGAAAAACCAAGCACGCCCCCCCCCCAAAAAAAGGCAAGTTGGAGAAAACTCTCCTGAGGGAGTTGCCATCCTAGGTCCTGTGCCCATGCCCTTACCCTCACCCCAACCCAACTACCCTCAGCTCTCACAGGGCTCTTCTTATACCCCAGGGCGTGCTTCTAGGGACCCTTTCTGTCCCCTCACCCTGCCAAGCTCAAGGTCTCTCTACACCCCAGCCCTGACCGCTCTGCCCTCCCTCTCTGCTCCTCCCTGGAATGCCCTCTCCTCTTCCCGCTTCCCTTCCTCTCCTCTCCTCTGCCCTTTCATTTTCCTTCCCTCTGTTGTCCTTATTCCTGCCACCTACTGACAGGCAGCAGCAGGAACAGCCCTGCACCCCTAGCCCCAGCCGTTTCCATGGATCTGGGCCCAATACAAACAGCCCAGGACCCCCCACCTTCAGCCTGGCCTTGGGAGTAGGGTTGGGTGGGCAGATGAGGTCATTGCCACAGGCCCCCCAGCAGGCCAGCAGGCCTGTGAGGGGAGGAAGTGTTTGTTTGCTCTTGTTTCCCTGGCAACTTGCTGGACCCCTCCCCCACTCCCATCCCTAAGCAGGCCAGCAAAGCCGCGGATAGGACCACTGCCCTTTTCCAGGCCGTACCTTGCTGTGCTGAGACCCCAGGCCATAATTCTGAGTTGCCAGGTAGGGCCTGTAACCCTTAACCCCACTCCAGAGGCAGAGTTTGAAAAATGGAGGCAAGACCAGCCCTGCCCAGGGCCGAGGACAGCCTAAAGCTCCACCTGCTGTCCCTGGGTGACAGCACCTCCCTGGGGCAACCGGTTGGGGTCATCCAACCTTCCAGGAACAGAGCCCAGCCATCCCTGGCAGGCAGTGGATGAAGGACTGGGTAGAGCAGTGCCCAGTGTGGCTAGTCTCCAAGCAGCTGCAGGGTCTAGGGCATCAGCAGGCTCCTGGATGTGTGTACATCTGCCCCATCCCCAGTCCCACAAAGTCAGCAAGTCCCTTCATGGTTTTCTTGTGTGCTTGAGGGATCATGGAGAGCCCTGTGGATAGAGGGGGTCTCCCAGGTTGGACCATGTCAACCCAGTCTCCAGTAAGCCGGGGGAGGGGCACAGGGCTTGTGTGTGAGCATATGTGGACAGGCTAGACCCCCTGACCCAACATAACCTGCTCACAACATTCTATTGTCAACACGTAACACCCTAACCTCCCCTGACACCCTGTCCTACTTTGAGCAACCTGGGCCAGCAACTGGGGACAGTAAGGACACCTCCTGGGGTCCTTGTGCTCAACATATTGAGGGTAACCAAGGACTTGCTGCAGGTCATCCGGAGTTCCACCTCCTCCTTTCCCTTTTCCCAGTCTATCGTTCATCTACCTCTCATTCCTCCCTTCTGCCCCCTCCTCTCTCTCTCTTCCTTCCCATATCTTCCCTTTCTCTACCCCCTCTTCATTTCTACCCCTCAGTCCCTCCTCCTCTCTACCTTCATCCTTGGTGTCTGAAGTCAGTCTTACAGGCAAGGCGGGATCCAACCCAATACCTTCCCACTTCTGCACACTCAAGCCTTTCTGAGACATTACCTAAGTGCCTTCTTACCTAATCCCCCAGCCATCTCCCACACCAGCCAGCCCCGCTGGGAGGAGAGCCAGACGCCTGCCCCTGCCCCAGTTCTAGCTCAGGGAGTTGCCTGGTTGGTCTGTGGCTGGCCCCTAGCACCTGCATGTCCTGGGCTTGTGTCTCTACCTATGAAGGACTGGGGCCAGGCCATTGAAGAGTCTCTGTCTCCTGGGACCCACCCCTTGTCTTTGCTGGGGAACCTCTTCTCCAGTAGGAAGTACCTTTCAGGATCCAGGGTGTCTTGTCTATTTGAGGAAGTAACTCAATGGGAGAGGTCTTTCTTCCTGCCTCAGTGGCCAATGGGAACCCATCCACTGAGAAAATCAGATGGAAGTGGATCTAGACCTCACTGTGCTGGATGGCTGTGCAAGGCAAAGACTGTGTAGGGAAGGACTGGGCTAGGAGGTGAGCTACTGCCAGCACTGTGTCCCTACTGTGCCAATATGCACACAAACTAACATTCATGCAGACACACCATACATGCAGACACAATGTGCCACATATACTTCTACACACATACATATATGAAGGGACAAACCTATGGATGCAGCCATGTACAGTCACAAGATATGGATATATGTGGACACAGACACAGGACATGGCTCCCATGTGTACATTAAAAACTACATTCAGACAAATCTATGGATACGACCCCTCTGAACACATACACACATCCGTGAGTACACAGACCTAGGCATACTTTTGCTCACAGGGTCATGTTCATAGGTCCTGAAAGAATGGCCAGATAACCAAAGGACATCATACATAAAGGATATGACCCCATTATAGCTGGCAGCCAAAACTCCAAGAGAATGACCAGCCCCCGCCGCCCTGGGGGGGTGGTGGTGGGGGATAGTCTACATGTCCAGGTAGAAACAGATCAGATTGCCTTCCAGCAATTTTATGCAGATGGGATTCGGTCAGTGCTCACAGTACCTACCCAGAAAAAATGGCCCCATGAAGTCGCCCAAAACCCCAGGAAGGAATCATGACCCCCCAACCCCTGTTTGTCAGGCCCAGAGCCCTGAAGAACTGGAGGGGAACACAACTGGTGGGGTTCAGTCTGTGATGAGAGTCAGTGAAGGTCCAGCATGGGCATGGCCATCTTCTTGGACGCCGGACTATAGATATGGACATCTTGATCAGGTTCAAACAGTCCCCAGAGGGCAGCCCCTCCCCTGGTGCTCATGGGTGCAAACTATAGAGCAGGGTGGCAAGCAGAACACAGGCAGGTGTTAGCGGAGCCACTAGAAACTCAAGCAAGGAAGGTCACAGTAGCCGGGAAGGAGCGGGAGGGTTGAGGGCTACACTGAAGGCACCCCAGACATGGGGCAGGAGATCCCCTGCCATAGAACAGGGAAAAGACTGCAGGGACCAAGCCAAGGGAGGGGTGGTAGGAACTCTGGTGGAGGTTCTGACAGGAGGGTCCCTTCCTGGGCCACAGGGTTAGAGAAGGCTCCCTTGAAGTGCCTCAACTCCCACCCAGCCTCAACACAGGAGGCAGAGAGAGACCAGGGATCTGGGACTGCCACACAGACTAGGGTGATCAGTTCTTTGGAGTTAGTCTCTTCACCCTGGACCCTCCTGTCCTCCCCACTCTCCCCAGATACCTTCCCTCCGCTCCCTCCTCCCATGTTCTCCTCTTTCAGCCTGGACCCTCCTCCCCATCTCCAGCCTTCCTTTCCCTCCTCCTCCCCCACCACTGCAGGCCTTGCCCACATCTCCTTCCTCCCTTCCTTTCAGGTTCCCCACAACCTCTATGAAAGCAGCAGGCTTGAGTTATGTATAATTTAAAATACATTTATTTAGTGTTTCCATTTGTTTCTGGTTTTGTTACACAAAGCTGTTAAATAAATACATTCTCTGCAGTCACTCAGGTTCACACCTACTCGCCACACAGATGAGGTAGAGAAATCACAGGCTGCACAAGACTCCACACAAAGACAGCGCTCCCTTGTGGGTCCATTGCCCGGCCAGGCGGGCCAGCAGTAAGCCTCAGAGCCAGCATACCCTGGGTGGCCGGGCCGCGGGAGCAGGGCAGCCGCTCACTCTACTGCCCATAGAAGAGAAGAAGATCAAAGAGGCTCTGGCCTGTGGGAGTTGCTTCATCCAGAAAGACATTCTAGTATATATTTATACAGAAAAAAACCAGCCGGCAGACATTCTCATTCTGCCTTGTTTTAAAAAATCCTTTTCTGAATATTGAGGACATAGAGCTAAATGTGGTATTCGGTAAAAAATATTCCTCTGAACTGGTAGGCTCCTTTCCCCAGATCCGACAGAGATAAAGCTCCAGTCTGTGGTGACACTGTGACTGGATTACAGACAGCTGAGAAGTGCTGGCTGCACTCCCCAGCCACCAGCCACTGCATACTGCCACTCATACCCTCATCCTGGAAACGTGGCATTCATTGGTAGGCTGTCATGAACCACAGGAGAATAAACTTTGCTATTTACACTTCCAATAGGGACCAGAGGCCCTCATCCACATAAATAGGTTTCCTTTTAAGACACAGTCCTACCACCACCCCATGCTTGGGCATTCTGGACTCCTGGAGCTCCAAGGGAGCCACTCCTTCCTCAGTAGTTTCTTTCTCCATGCCTGCCACCAGCCCACGCTCCAATCTATGTAGCCACGGGATTCCCACACAAACCTAAGGCCGGGCTTTCTGGGAGCCAAAGAGTCACCATATTGCAGAGGGGCGCAGGCCAACTGGATGCTGATCATGACTGCTCAGAGTACATACACTCACACACTCACACACCCATGCACACACACTCCTCACCAGCTCAGTGTAGCCACCTTTCCCCTGCAAAGACATCAGCAAGACCTGATGACAGCAAGTGTGTCTGTCCCTCCCTACCTTCCTTGGTGACACAGAGCAAGTGTGGCTTCCTGAGATGGACATTCGAAAGCTAATCCTGCCTCTGTCACAAGGCCCATGCCTCCAGCACTCTAGACCCCACAACCCATATCCAACAACCTGGTCACAACACCTACAGGGTACAGAGCAGGGGCCACACTAAGGGCCTCTAACGCCCAGGTAAGGTAGAATGGGGGAGTGGGTTTCCAGAAGCCCTGAGGGCCATGGCTAGGCTCCATTGCTTTCTTTCCAAACATGACCTTGATTTAGTGGTTTCAAACTAGAGCAAGCAGAAGAGAGTACAGAGGAACAGGAAGGCAGGGCCTCCCAGGTTGGCTTGGCTGGGCCTGGGGCAGGTTAAAGGAAAAAGCCACAGATTAGGAGGCAAGGGCATAAAGAAAATAATAATTACTATATCAGTTAAATAATAATAATTTAAAAGTCACTGATACTCCAAGGAAGTGCTCAGGGTCAGAGGGCCAGAGGCTGGGCCCTGGAGATGGAGTGGCTGCTCTCTCCTAGTGGTTTGACTCTCTGAAGACAGTGCTGGCATCAGGCTGCTGGGCCAGAACGGCAGCCGTGTGATTATGAAGGTGCACCTGCCCTCCAAGCCTCAGCAGAAGCCGAGAGGCAGGGAGGGCCAGTTAACACACTGGTCCCTGACAAGGGCTACACTCGGGACTGATGTGTCAGAGACGGAGGCAACTGAGAAACTGAGAAAGCATTACTGCAACGCTCTCGGGTCAAGGGGAGGAAGCTCAGGCCCAAGGCATAAGCAAAAGGGTTGAGGAGGCCAGACAGGGGCCAGCCCTCCCTCTGGGCCTTTGAGAAGTTAGACAGCCAACCAGCTGTACGCATACCAGGGCCCAAGTGTGCTAGGGGCACCTCTCCTTCCTTGCAGACCTTTTGTGTTGTTGTGACACATGTGCCCCACACAGCAGGATAGGCTGGGCCTGCAGGGCTTACTCTATTGCAGGCTAAGAGCCCTTGCACTATGTGCAACGCCTACACCCCTGTAGAAGGGCTGGGCAGAGCCCAGGGGTCAGCTCCTGCAGGTGTAGAACTCTTCAGGTACTGTGTGCAAAGCCCCTAGCCCTTACGGTAGGGCCACTGGGCCTCAGGTCAGCCCTTGCAGGTGTAGACCTCCTCTCGCTGTGTACACTGCCTGCACTCTACATAGCAGCACCAGCGCACCTGGCATTGGCAGGGCCTTGTCACCACACGGCTCTGTGTGTTGTGGCCACGGCCACAACAGATACTCTCACAGTTCTTCTCACGGTGGCACCTGCGGCCTGCAGTGCCAGGGGAAAAGCGGCCAGCCAGGCAGAAGCTGGGAGAGTCATCCAGGTGCACCAGCTCTGGTGTTCGGGGCAGTGGGTCACCACCTCCTGACCCAGAGGCCCTGCCCCGTGGTGGAGAGATGGCACCAGCCTCGCCGGTGGCTTCATTGGTAGTGCTGCCCACCTTGAGCGCTGTCTCATATTTGTGTTTCAGGTGCTTGCCCACCTCGTGGAAGGGTGCGAGCTGCCGCCAACAGGTCCTCACTGTGCAGGAGCCAGATACGCCATGGCATTTGCAGGTAGTCTCTACTCCAGCTTTTATCACCTGCAGTGGGGGAGCAGGAGCATGAGGAGCATGCCAGAAAAGCCCAGAAACATCAGAGAGGCTGGAACCTTAGCCCACCCTTATTGCCCACTGTGTAACCCTCACAGAGACCTAGACAGAGCCTGGCCAGCAGGGGTCAGCACTGTGCAACACACAGGAAGCCCAGCAGCCAGGATCATAGGCTGTCTCTTCCCTCTCTGAGTCAGGACTGCCAGGGGACAGAGGCCGTAAGGCCAGCAGCACCTTGACTTCCAGAATGGATCTTTGCTCCTCTATGAGCACAGGCTGGCCCGCACCCCCTTTGAGACACACTTCCTGTCTAACCTTATAACCATCCCTGCCCTGCCATCAACAATTACAGCCTTGCCAGGATTTCCTGCTTCTGGTCTCAGCATACTCTCAGCAGATGAAGACAAGGATCCCCCAGGGCTCTTTGTTTAGACTGACCACACCCCTGCTGAGTACCAGCTCTAGGTGGATATAACTCAAGCCCTGTGTGTGTGCGCGCGCGCACGCGCGCAGATTCAAAGAAAGGTGGGAAATTAAGGTAACTTCTTAAGGAAACGCTGCACCTAGGAGAGCTTCCAAGGCCAACTCCCCAGGAGAGGCTGCACCCTTGCTCCGCTCCATGACCATAGGTTGGAGCAGGCATGGTGGGCCTCCAAAAGTCCAGGTCTGGTAAGATACCAGGGAACCCTGGCCGGGCCAGGCCCTTCTTGGGACTTAGGGCTCCGCCTGAGGGATCTTCTGCCTGACCTTTCGTACCCAGGGGCCTTCCAAACGTTGTTTCAGATAGTAGAGTTGTGGGACAGAAGAATGTCGGGGAAGGGGGGCACCTCTTCCCAGGTGGGCCCTAAGCCACTGCTGGGCTCCCAAGCTGGCCCCCAGGAGTGTCCATTGGAGAGGGAGTAAGAAGTCTAGCTACCTCCTCACTCTCCTGCCAGGCAACCAGAGAGTCCCACTTAACCACGCTCTCCTGAGAAACCAGGACAGATTTAATTAAAGTGCGGCTGCCTGGGAGCAGTAAGCTGAAGGAGCACGTTCACACATTCTGACTTTTCATTAATAGCTCAAAGGGGAAGGTGGGGAGGGAGGGTCCAGCAGGAAAGAAAAGAACAGCCTGGCCTCAGAGATTGAATCTGCCCTCCCCGGCTTCCCTCCCCACTGGCCTAGGCCTGGGAAGGACTGGTTGGAAAGGAGGCAGACCAATCCTTTAATAAGTGGGGGATTCAGAACTCCGATTACTCAATAACAAGGAGCTCAGGGCAGGGCAGACTCTAATTACCTTGCTGTCCTCCCCAGACTGGAGGTACAGAGCCAGGCAAGGGGAGGAGGACAGGCCCCCAGCTCCTGAGGGGGGTATGGACCCTGCTTTTCCAAGCCCAAGCAGAGTCTGGAGTTTGAGTCATTCAAAGATGAGGTGGGTGGTGGCGGCATACACTTTTACTCCCAGCACTCGGGAGGCAGAGGCAGGCAGATCTCTGTGAGTTTAAGGCCAGCCTGGTCTACAAAGTGAGTGCCAGGATAGGCTCCAAGCTACACAGAGAAATCCTGTCTTGAAGGAAAAATAAATGAGGTGGAGGGGTGTATAGGGATCTATCTTGGTCCCATTCAGCAACAGGTAAACCAGGAGCTTCAGAGCTGAAAGTGACATCTGAGACATTCAACAGGTAAATCAGGCAACTCCAGAGCTTGGCATGCCTGCAGCCATAGCACCCCAAAGGCCTACTAGAGAGCTAATAATAAATCCCCCTTTTGCTTGTATTTAGAGTCGGGGTTCTGTCTTCCAGAACACTCTTGGCCACAGATAACACTGGACACCCTGGGTAAATGGGTCCTGTACCCATCAGCTCTTCCTTGGAGCTTCCTATCTACTATACTGCTCTCCACTTCTATGGTGACACTGCAGGTCACTTGGGCATGTAGGATACAATGTAGTGATATATTATTTATGTTTTATTAAAGCTTGCCTGAGGATTTAGACAGCAAAGTCTGCCACAAGCCATAGAAGCCTGGCACACACCTTTAATCCCAGCAGCCAGAGATGGTGGTACACACCTTAAATTCTAGGACTCAGGATTAAGAGATAGACAAATCTCAGTGAGTTCAAGGCCACCCAGATCTACACAAGATGGAATCAGTCTAAAAGAGAATTACAGCTCACACCTTTAATCCCAGAACTCATGAGAGGTATATAAGACGGGAGCAAGGTCTCAGTATGAGGCATTCATTCTCCAGCCATGTTGAGAATAGCAACACCCCAGCCCTGTTAGAAGTAAGAGCTCTCAGGTACCACAGGGAAGACTATTCATAGAGACAACTTCCGAGTCCTTGACTTGCCGGGAACAGGTGCAGAAAGTGACAAAGACCTTCCCTAGACTACCACATGGCACTTCCATGCCTAGTGACAGCATCTCACTCCATCCACTCCATGACCAGCCCTAGCCTTCCTGTACCCAAGCCCTCCCCCCCCCCATATACTTAGTGCCTAACCCTAAAACACTCACTGGGCCCAGCTCCTCTCAGACACAGCAATACCCCGACCCCAATCCTGCCCTGTGCCCCTCCCAGCTTGCCTTCACACCCACGAGGTTGTTATGGAAGTCTACTCGGGCTCGCAGATCCTTGCTAGACCGCCGGCCCAGGAACTCCTTGACAAACTTGCTGCTGTACTTGAGGTTGTCTCCACAGCCACCCCACTGCCAGGCCTCACGGTTTTCCAGGTCAGGGGCTTCGTCACAGGTACAGCGCTCCATGCGTCCTGCACTGCATGCCTTGGCCAATGCATGGGTCAGGCCCGCAGAAGAGATGGCATAGAGGAAGGCAGTCTCCTTGAAGCCTAGGGACAGCAGTAGAGCTAGTGAGGTCCAATTTCACATGTGTGCTAGCTAGGTAAGGGTTGGGGTACCATGCCTTTGAGGGCCTTTGGCAGGCACCTGAGAAAGATGCCGAGGATTCAGTAGTGTAGGACAGGCTGGGATTAAGACTTCAGAGTCTACAGTGGTACCTCTAGCCTGGTGGTCACAGATCTCATCCAGGTTCTCAATGTCTTGGCCTGTCCCTAGGGTCCTTGACAAATCCAACCTTAGACCTCAGGTCCTCTACTAACTGTGTATCATCTGTCATCTATCTATCTATCTATCTATCTATCTATCTATCTATCTATCTATCTATCCATCCATCTACCTATCTTCATCATCCTCATCATCTATCAATCATTTATCTGTAGAATTCCTATTGTTTAACCATGTCTATATATCACCTATTTATATCTATCTATCGATCTATTCATCCATCTATCCATTCATTTATCTGTAGAATTCCTATTGTCTACCCATGTCTACATATCATCTTTTTATTATCAATCATCTGTCATCTATCTATGCTACATATATTGGCAAGCACTCTACCACTGACTTAGTCCCTATTCCCTCGGGTCTTCAGTTTTTAAGCTTATGAAGAGACTCCCATGAGCTCCTGTGCCCAGTGGAAGGAGGAGCATGGAGGGTTTGGCCTGGGTCTGAGGCTTTCATTCAAAGCTGATGGTATACTGCCACCGGTGCACACATGGCAGGGAGAGACTATAGGGTGTGGCTGAAGGGAAGCAAGTGAGACCTTACCTCGCTTGAGCAGGCTAGCTCGGTAGCGGCCCTCCAGGGTGCAGTTCCAGCGCTCAAAGCGGAACTGGTACTGGCACTCCAGTGCACTCATGCTCACAGCCTCCACCAGTGTCTCAGCCACGCCTGGGTCCCTGCGGCACATGCGACGCTGTTTGCGTTCCAGCTTCAGCCTGTCACAGGCCTTGTAGTGTGCTTGGGCCGCAGCCTCGGTCTCCAGGGTCAGAGGGAGGATAGTCAGGGGTTCACTGCCTGTTAACCTAAGGACAGACAGAAGAAAGTGAGACCCGTCATAGGGTGGGGAGAACTGTCTGGGCTGAAGTATCTGAGAGTCTCCCTGGGAACACAGGAACCAGCACGCTAAGCCAAGTTAGAAGACAGGAGTGGTAAGACAGGAGCATCCAGCCCTAGGGAACCCAGGAAGAAGCAGGCGGTACATAGAGATCTTCCCTGAACCTGCCTGCTCTCATACCTGTCAGCACTGCCCTGGTCCCTATACAATGCCTGAGGGACTCCCATGTAACCCACACAGCTGCACAGGCAGGGCCTCCAACAGCCATGTAGTTGTCCCGACAGTTCCAGTTGATACCAGCATTGATGGCTAAAGATCAGTCCCCAGTTACACTCTCGAGAGCACAGCAGTGAGGGACTATAATGTGAAGTCTAGGACAACAGTGGGAAAGGGACCAGGGCCCCAGGCTGTGTCCATACTGTCCTCCTCCCCAGCTTGGAGACCCGACCCTGTGCTATTACCAGCCAGGAGTGTCCTGGGCTCACTTCTTCTCCCTGACCCCCTGAAGTCTGTTCTGGATGCCATGTGGTCTGGCCGTGATAATCTCTCAGCCTCAGGACTGTGGGCCCACTGGCCCCAAGAGAAGCAAGCTCCAAACCTTCACCTTCAGCAGCACCTCTAAGAATTATGTGGGGTGCTAGCTTTTAAGAGCTCTGTCTTGGATAGGGAGAGGGGGAAAAAAAAGAAAAGAGAAAGGGGGTAGAAACAGGAGCGCTGAAAGAGACTGTGTAGTGTCCCCTGATGCCTGGACACCATGGGGATGTCCAGACAACATCAGTTCATGCTCTGGTGGAGGAGACTGAAGACAGGGTGCCCCTGAATTATTGGGCAAACATGTATCACCATGTAAACAGGGACTTGAAGAGACCAGGGTCTCTGTCTGGGCCAGCCGTCCCTCTACTGTCCTGATGGGACTAACTGTCTCAGAACACTTTTTGACTCTGGATAAACTCAGGGCAGATATCTGGAAGGCAAGTCATCAGAATGACAACATTCAGGGGCACAGAAACAGGGCTAGGATTTGGGGGATTGGAGTGCCTGATTGAGAGGGCTTAGAAGGAGGCTGGGACCACCTAGCCAGGGCAAGGTTCCCAGGACACCAGCATCAAATGCAAAAACAGCCCATGTAAGTGCTGGAAGCAAAGACAAAGGGTCATAAAATAATGCCAGGATGAAATGTGTCCTTCCTTGTGACTGAGTGCTGGTATTAGGGGTGAATGTATCTGAATATATAAAAGGACTAAAAGCCTTCAGGGTGTTGCAAAGGGCAAGGAAATAAAAGGGCAGTAGATGATATTGGAAGCTTGTTTGCAGCTTATTTCTCAGAATAAGCCCAACTCTATGAGTGTGTGTGCAAGCACACATATGACTGTGGACATAGACATCTCCCTAGAAATTAGTAACGACAGGAGTAACATGCAAAGCAGACAGGCGTGAGGGGTTCTGCTGTGGCGTTGTCTGAGAGTGACTGCATAATACTGTGCGTTGTGTGTGAAATGCCCTCTTCAGCCGGTGCATTATTTTGGGAGCCTTCAGGAAGTATGGAAATGTGGCACAGCTGGTAGATGTAGGCCTTGGTTCTAGTCACATCCTTGGCTTCCCGGCCCAGAGCGAGGTGAACAGCCTCTGCCACACTGATCCACCATGCCTCGCCCACCATGAAACAGCCTGAACACTCCCTCCCTTAAGTTGTTTCTGTTGGGTATTTTAGTCCTTGGGATGAAAAAGTCACTAACATAATAGATGACAGTAATGTACTATGTGTCCCAAAAAGCTAGAAAGATTTTGAAAATTGAAGAACTGAGGTATATTAGGAGACAGTGCTTACTCTAACTTCAAAACCAAACACCTGCACATATGAAAACATCGCTGACTTCCCCTTAATATGCACAATTTTTTATGTATCAGTTAAAAGATGAAGAAAATAGCCGGGCAGTGGTGGCACACACCTTTAGTCCCTGCACTTAGGAAGCAGAGGCAGGCAGATCGCTGAGTTTGAGGACAGCCTGGTCTACAAAGTGAGTTCAGGACAGCCAGGGCAAAGAGACCCTGCCAAAAACAAAGGAAAGCAAGCAAACAAAACGATTCACAAAAGAAGACTGGTGCAGGGATCGATGCAAGGCTCAGCAGGTTAAGGGGCTTTCTGCCCAAGTGTGATGATACCCAAGACCCACATGGTTGAAGGAGAGAACCAATTCCTGGAAGTTGTCATATGACATCCACATGCATTCTGTGACACACATGCACATTCCCCAACTCCCAACACAGATTTCTTTTCTTTTTTTTTTTTTTTTTAAAGAAAATACAATTGCTCTTAGAACTCAGGCACTGGTCTCCACTGGAAAAAAACACCATGATGGCACAGGCATACCATATCCCAGCCACTCAGGAGGCTGAGGAAAGACGACTATGAGTTCAATGTCATCCTGGGCCAAAAAGCGAGGCCCAGACAGAAAAAGAGAAAGAGGGAAAAGAGAGGAGGAGAGAAGAATAGAGGTGATGAGACGTTTGAGCTACGGAAGGCCTAGTTTTATGTCAACTTGACACAAGCTAAGACCACTGGAGAAGAAGGACCTCAAATGAGAAAATACCTCCATAGGCTCAACAGGCATTTTCTTAAATAGTTATTGCTGTGGGAGGACCCAAGCCATTGCCTGTGGGGCACGACTGGGCTGGTGGTTCTGGGTTTATATAAAAGCAGACTGCGCAAATCATGGGGAATAAGCCAGTTAGCAGCACCCTTCCGTGACTTCTGCATCAGGTTCCTGCTCTGTTTGAGTTCCTGTCCTGACTTCCTGATGAACAGTGATGAGGACACACATAAGCCTAATAAGCCTTCTTCCCAAGTTGCTTTGGTCCTGGTGTTCCAACACAGCAACAGAAGCCCTAACCCAGACAACGTCCTCATTTATAAAAGTTTGACTGTACAATGGCACAAAAGGGACAGTAATCCAGTAGAGATGGCACTGTGGATTTGCTTTCTGCTCTTTCCTGTGCATCATGCTACATGAAGCTCCTTACAGTTGGCCCCAGGATCCTAAGAGGAACACGGATGCCCAGAAGTAACATGGGTGGTCAGCTTCTGATGAGACAGGCTTGGCGTTGGTTCTGCCCCACTATAAGCCAGGCCCCACACTCTGAGTGTGTGCAGTGGGCTGGCCTGAGCAGGGATGGTGGGAGAGTGGGGGATAGTCCATGCATTTTTGGCTTATTTCATGCCATAGGTTTCTCAAAACATAACCTATCTTAGGTCACTATACCACGTGACCCTTACACATGATAGAACACAGTGCTGGTGGATGTCAAGAAAGAAGTAGGGAAAGGCTAGATCCACCTGATCTACTGTGCCCTGGAGTGAGCAACAGCCCTGTGCCGGCATGGAGCCCGCCCCACAGAAGGCATGCCCAGCAGCCTGAAGACAGGCTTGGAGACAGAGGAAAAAATCCGGACAGAGCACCTGGGGAGGGGAGCGCCTTCTTTTCCACACAGCTGTGTGCATCCCTGGGCACAGATGGCTTCTTCACAAACACGTGGCAAAGTGGCCTGGCTATATGGCTCGCCACCCAGAGGTTGTGGCCCTGCAGTCCAGACAGCATCCCCTATATCCTGTCCTGGCATGGCATAGGCCCTGCCCACTGGACCAGCTGCCTGCCACACACAGAGCACCTGCTGCCAGGCTCAACGCAGCTGCCGCCCAACCCTGGTGGTGTCTGGCCTAACATGGCAGACAGAGCCAGCTGCACAGCTCAGTCCAGCCACCCAGCTGGGCATACACATCTTTCAGGCAGGACTGTGCGTTTCTCCTGAGGCTGGGGGCCTCATGCACTCTACATGGTCTTCTGGCAACCAAAGACTGTAACTCAATCACATACCATGTCTGTTTCCCGATTCTGTATCTATCTACACCCAGACCCCTCATTCTGACACAGACACACAGCAATTACAGTGGGTTACACAGGGGGCTGAGGATACAGTTCTATTGGTAGAGTGCCTCTCTGGCATGCACAAGACCCTGGGTTCTATAAACTTGCATGATAGCACACACCTGTAATTAAAGCACCTGGGTAGTAGAAGCAGGAGGATCAGAACTCGAGGTTACCCTTGGCCACATAATTAGACTGAGGCCAGTCTGAGCAACATGAGACCCTGTCTCAAAAGAGATGGTTCAGTGGTTTAGAGCACACATTGCACTTGCAGAGGACTGGGATTCAATTCCCAGAATGCATATGGGTGGTTTACAATCATCCATACATCCAGGGGATTTGACACCCTCTTCTGACCTCCATGGGCACTAGACATGGGTGAAGTACACATACCCTCATGCAGACAAAACACTCATATATATATAAAACAAAATAAATAAATCAAGAAAAAGAAGAGGACCAAAAGTGGATTATAATTACCTAAATCTTAGTCTAAACTAACTGCTAAAAATATAGTGGAAATGACTGATGTTGGTAGTTTTGTTTGTTGTGTTAACATAACTAACTCTAAAAGCACACTGAATGGAAGTAAAAACAGAAAACAGAACTGCACCAAGGTAAGATGCTTCTACAGGGCAAAGAACCAATCAACAGAGAGAACCTACAGAGCAGGAGGAGACACTCTGAGGAGGGACTAGCATCCAATTCAGTAGCAAGAAATAACCCCTTGAAAACTAGCCAAGGCAGGTTGGGAGGATGGCTCAATGATTAAGAACACTGTTCTTCCTGAGGACCTGGGTTTAATTCCTAGCAGTCTGTAACTCATCTCAAGGGATCCAATGCTCTCTTGTAGCCTCTGTAGACACTACATGTACATGATCCACAAACATACTTGCAGACAAAACACCAGTACACATTAAAAACAATAGACAAAGACAAATAACCAACCAACAACAACAACAGCAACTAACCAAGGAGATAACTCCAAAATAGACATTTTACAAGGAGACTATTCCTTGCTCCTAATCATTAGGGAAATGCCAAT